GTCATCATCACATGATGACAAAATCTTGTCGAAACGTTGTACATTTGCTGTCATGTTAAACTTATATTAAAGTTTTTCTTCATTACCCATTTAAGCCGTCTCCAGCCATTATATATATATAGTATTTACAAGTCTACATGGGCATTCTCAAACACACGTATTCTTATAAACAAAAGTTACAGTTGACATTCAGATTATCCTAAAAAAACGGAAAGAAATTATAGTAATTAAATATTTCGTTAGGTTAGAAAAATAAATATAGAATATATCACAAATGTTATAAATATAAGATGATTTGTTTTGAATTTCGCGCAAAGCTATCACAGAACATCAAAAAACAACAAACGTAGTGTTGCTATAGAAATGCGTAACTTCTGCTGCCATGCTACTTCGAAGATAACCAATATAAACATTTACAAAATGTTCTGTCATTATACAGATTCTTCAAATCACACCAATATTAACACAAGCGTTAAAGTATCTTCTAGACACTAAGTTAACCAGTTACAAACTAAACTTAATTTACCACGTGTTTATATATTAGTTAGTTTTGATACCATATTTTTATCTAAAACATCATTTGCTACTAAAAAAATTTCGCACAATTTAGTTATGCTTTGGGTTTTCTGACTATGTAGACCTATATAAAACAATCAGAAGTAGCCACCAGTGTGTTACAATGGCATTAGACAACTATCGTATACCACAGTTCTTCTGAATTCAAGTACAATAAATAACATTAATAATAAATAATTGTGTTAAAATAAATAAGCAATTTGATTTTAATGAAAATCATAAACTTAATTCTGATGTGTAATGGCTTAAATAAAAATTGATACAAAAATACAGTTCACAAGTTTAATCAGGTTCACACCGAAATATTTGTTAAAGCAATTTGATGATATAAATAGCATGTCGACCACTACTTATGTCTGTCGTATTCCAGCCGGTCCGATGAGCCCTGGCACCGGCCGAAAAGCCTCATCGGCACTGGATATAACAGATATAATGTGGTCGACATATTATTACATTCTTCTTTACTTTCACTAATAAGTACAAAAGCTGACTCACTATCTTACTACCTTTTAACATAAAACTCTCAGAAACTTCTAAGATATTATATCTAAAACACTTTACAGTTAAAATTAAGAATTGTTCTTCCGGTTTGCTTTGTTGTTTATTCTCCTCTCCAGACTGTTTCAGGTACCCAAGGAGGACTACATTATCGGAAGAAACAAAAACGCGTGCACGCGCTTATAAACACGAAAAGGGAACGATAAGAAATAATACAAAAAAAGAACCTGTGTTGTGAGATAAGGTAAAGGTATCTTTACTTATGTATATTTGTTATTACAACGTGTATAATTATTCTTTCGGAGTTGAAAATGTAATTTAAATGAGAGAATGAAGCCATCACATGTGGAGTCAAACTATTCCTAAAAACAAACAAACAAGGCTATGAATATCACCCTGGAAAGAAATGCAAATATCCCCTAGTATATTACTTTACGTATTATAACTTTGAAGAGAATCCTACAAAACCACGTATTTAGTGTTTATTTTAGAGCAAAGCCACATTGGACTATTTGTTTGTTCACTGCGGGGAATCGAACCCCAGATTTCAACTTACTGCTGTCACACCGAGGAACAACCCCAAGTAACATGACTAATTCAAAACTGTGGATACAAAGGTTAAAAACACGAAGGTTAAAATAAAAGAAACAGACGTTTTGCGTTCTCTAGTGACGAGTGATATGTCTACGCTCTCTGATGTTTTCATATGATGGTAAACAGTATATGATAAGTAGTGTTTCTGCTAATAACAATTCAATATAAGTAACATGAATTGTATATCACCCTAAAATACAAAAAATATTAGGTCAGCAAAAATAACGGGTTTGAATGCCAAAGGACTGCTTTATTTTTAAGTAAAAAATGTTTTTATACTCGTCGAAGCGTTATGTAGAATAACTTGTAATTCTGTGTAGCAGAATATATTAGATTATCACTTCGTCATATTGTATGAAATACGTAAAAGCTATAAAGAGCAGTCTTGAATATTCATATATAGGATGCTTCTTGAGACCGGGTGTTGCCTGTCATGGCTATCGTGCTATATGTTTGTTTGTTTGTTTTTGAATTTCGCACAAAGCTACACTAGGGCTATCTGCGCTAGCCGTCCATAATTTAACAGTGTAAGAC